AAGATACATCAGATTTAAAAACAATATGACAAGTCTGTTAATTGTTAAAGATACAACAGATTAAAAACAATGACAGTCTGTTAATTGTTACAGATACAACAGATTAAAAACAATGACAAGCCTATTAGTTGTTAAAGATAAATCAGATTTAAAAACAATATGACAAGTCTGTTAGTTGTTAAATATACATCAGATTTAAAAACAATATGACAAGTCTGTTAGTTGTTAAATATACATCAGATTTAAAAACAATATGACAAGTCTGTTAGTTGTTAAAGATAAATCAGATTTAAAAACAATATGACAAGTCTGTTAGTTGTTAAAGATAAATCAGATTTAAAAACAATATGACAAGTCTGTTAGTTGTTAAATATACATCAGATTTAAAAACAATATGACAAGTCTGTTAGTTGTTAAAGATTCTAACAGACTAAAAAGAACAATATGATAAAATAGAGTTTAGTGTTTGAATAAAAATTCTACTCTTCTATATAACTCCAAGCACACAATCTGATACACACAGACACAAAAGTGTATTTACCACAGGTATGACAGCAGCCTGCTCAGGTAACAATGCTGCTCTTTCAAGAACTAGTGATCGGCTCCACACCTCCGAGTCTGACAATACTTGTTGCTGGATGGTTCGCTGGGTTGGAAGTTGTTGCCAAGATGGAACAAACATCTGACGATTAGCTCCCCAACCTGACTGCACAGCATTCTAAAAATCATAGCATTTCAATAATCATTTAACCTTTTATATACACTAAATTGTCAACAAAAGCTCTTAGCTAATGTAGAGCCAAATATGTATAAAAAACATACAAATTAATGAAGCGTGTGTGTATAACACATGTCGGACAATTTTAAGACACCTAGTGTCTTTTAATTTTAGTAAATTTATGAATTGTGGGTATTAATTGAAAACAGAGCCAAAATACATAATTTTGGGAATTCCATACCTCAAAATTAGAAATAAAATTCCAATAATTGCCGAATTAGTTATTTCATAGAAATGTTTCATGAAATAAACAAAGCAATACATATTTTATACAAAATTACAGATTCTAAAGTATCGTAAAATAAATACAATTTATTTGTTTTGGCTTCTAGTTATGTTAATCTGAATATGTTGCCATTAGTTACGCTAATTACCTTATAACACATAAGAAAAATCTTCAGTATCCGAATATAAACTTCACCTTTCATTTCTTTCTCTTTTTTTTTTTTTTTTTTGAATAGGAAACAATGGAAAATTCAATGAAATAACGAAAAAATGTAGGATGTATTACAAAGCTGGAAGATATAGAACATACAAAGCCATGTGGTGTAACTAAGTCTACAATTTGAAGTATTAGTTGGGATTTCCAAAAGTTAAAAATACTCAGAATTTTTATAATACAACACTATATTGTTTGTGTCCTCAAGATGATTGAAAATCAGTAACAAAACCCAACCTTCATACAGTCTGTAGCAGAGAACACCGTGACTTTTTTTGGTGAATATGAAACGTACAGTCACCTAAATGTCAAAAATATGTTTTGTTGTTTCCCAGTGGAGTGAAATATGCATTTTAAGAACTTGCGAGTGAATTTCAAGAAAAAATCTCAACAATATGTCAACCACACTATCCCCATCATATCCTAGGGCAATGGGGCCTTTCGTCCCTTACAAGGGCTCATCAGAGTGGCTGGAGCATGATAGACATAATATTGGTTGAGAAGCTATTTCTATTATCGAACTGCATGAACAAAAAACCAAATAACATCTTATATGTAAGTATTTATTATCTATACCAAAATATCAAAGTTTCAAATAAAGTATTAAACCATAAAGAGACTTACTGTCAGAAGCATCTGCCTCCCGTTCTGCTCAACCACAGAAACTGGCACGTACTGCTGTGTTCCCACCTACAAATAAACCAGAAACATTGCTATGTTGATCAACACTAAATCCTATCCTACCATTGTCTAAAGCCACAGTTTATATTAGGACAGCATGATAACCAACTTGAATTAACAAGGTGAGCTAGTATCAGATATGCTTCTCATCATGTTTCAGGATTACGTCCCTTTTTGATATTGTCATCATTTACTAACTCACAACCCTGTTTTGATAGAATAACCCTTTGTTAACTGGTCTTATATAGTAGATTGATAGAAGTACTGAGGGTAAAATATTCAGAATCTGAAAAAATAAAACCGTCAAACATCTACCATAATAATACTCAGTTTTTGTCTGCCTTGAAAATGCATGTGCCCCTTATTATCTAAATGTGCATGTGTGTGCACTTCATTTCAAAGAATGTTAATAAAAAGTGGAAGCAAATATAGTTTAGTAGACATTCTGTACAACAACACATTAAAAGCTTATCAAAGTTTTTAAAGAAGGTCTAACTTTAGGTTGTAGAATAACATTACAAGTTCATTTATTGATAGTATTAAGTATGCTAAAGTTTGGTCTTAAATTTTACTAAAGTATTAAATATTCACAAGTTAGTGTGTTAATGTATCTCTCTATCAAATATAGGCCATACTTAATAAAAGCTTAACTAATGTTAAGCCTAAGACAAGCAGACATAGATTTCGGTGTGTGTGATTAGAATTCTTTTGTATTATTTAATAAATCTTGTATTTAAAGTACTGTTGCAATAAGATAATAATTTTACTGCAAATGTTTTGCAGGTCTCTGCTAGTTAACCAATAAATCATGTTTTGCTTTTGTTTTTCAACTGACAAGCATGGTTTCAGTGATTTCATCTAAAATTTAATAAGCTGGCATACTGAAAACTTTTCAGCTTTTAAGAAATTTTGATAGGGCACAAAAAGTTAGAAAGATAATCTAATAGTGGGTACATTGCAAAAAATAGACCTATATGAACTTAAAGCTAACCCACTATGAAGCAAAATTTTGTAATGACAGTGATTAACCATATACAGAAGTTATCCTTAAATAATTTTGTTTAGTACTGTTGAATAGTGAATAATCTTGTAACTACTTTTAAATAACATCTTCAGCATAAAATCCTTTATACTGTTGTTGAGTCTATTAACTTACACAATTTTTTTTCTTGGTCTTTTTCGAATTTTCAAGGAGTGTTTACTACCAAAACTGTTTCATATCTCACTTAAAAACAGTAATGAAAAATATACAAAATTAACCATTATGATACACAGTAGTTTTATTTTCAGGCTATAAGCTGACACGATTGTTCGCATTGTATCTAGATTTGACTTTTTTTCCTTTACACATAAGTTCATGTTATAACCTAAAGTCCTGTCATAATGTAATGTTTGTTATCATTGTAAGCTTGTTTACTCAATGATGACCACACATACAGCAGCAGTGACTTCCTTAAGAGTTGACTGCAGGTCTAAATGACTGTTTCATCTGTGAATTGGGCCGGTTCAAATTCCTTTTGTTAACTTTCAACTGTGTATTTGTATGTTTAATTTTGCAATAATTCATTCCAATTATAAAACTGTTATCTATGTTTGTAGAAGCGAATGCAGCTTTTTGTTATATATGGCAACAACAGTTTTTTGTAGTAAAACATTCTAGTGTTCGATGATCTCAATCATGCAGAAATTTGAACGTAGCAGTAATTGTTACCAGCATCTTCTGCATGACTCGAGTCAAAAATATACTGTGGTCTTGAAATGTAAAGAAAATATCAGATTATTATAGCCCATTCCAAATGTGTCATAAAGATTTGTCTAAAGAAAACTGTGCCATTAAATGTATTGATTGATATATTTCTTTAAAAGCTTATGTTCCAGGGTGGATGAGTTTTAAGAGAAATTCAACATTACATGATATGGGAGGAGGGAGAAAGCGTCGATGAATTTCAAATGACTAGAACCCACGAATGAAAGCAAAGGAAAATATCTGATATGTCAACTACACTACATCTGCCATATCCTGTGTAATACCAAAGATCATCAGGTCAACTGAGATACAAAAGGAATTCTGTTAAAAGAATAGATATATAGATTTTATTAATAACAATATTGATTTTAGCTTATTTTTCATTACCTGAGTAAGCAGGGATGGTTGTATCTGTAGAGCCTGGGCTGCCTGAGCAACCATTGGTACCATGTGCTTTGCTGGTGAGTTTAGCCCTAGCAATAAGAAATATATATATATAACAGCCAGTCCTCATAAAACACCTTCATGAATTATAGATAAGAATAACCAAATATAATACAAATATTTATGGCATAAGCAATAATCAACACAAATATGACAAAATTAGCACACGTTTCAGAATGAGATGAAAAAAAAAAGTTGTATATGTACATAAACAAAAGTAATTAAGATAAATATTTGTATAAACAGATTTTAGTTTTAAAATGCAAAAAATCATTGGAAACAATTTCTACCAGAAAACACAACGAAACCTAATTTGTTTAAGGATTTAATACAGTCTTATGAAACTTAACATGGAATTTGTAATATTCCAGACATACAGAAAGCAAGAAAAATAACTTAATATGGAAATCATAATATACTCCAGACATACAGAAAGCAAGGAAATAATATAAGACATTGTAATACAAAGATTTTATTTGTGACCCACAGCCTAACCCATCAAAATAGTGTCATGTCAAGCTGGCTAACAATATTTTTTGGCCCAAATTAACTTATGTACAAGCTTTTTTCAACAATTTTGTTGTTTGGATTAAAAAACTTAACACTAATATTCAACAATTAAGAATTTGAGGCATTGGAATATTTTTCCTTATTCTACTCACTAAAAAAGGCATGTAAAGAAACTATAAAAATAATTCCAAGGTCTGTAGTTTGTTCATGAGTGTTGTAAAACTCCCATTAGTTTCCACCGTTCTTTGCATTCGGAGTTACAGCTTTTCATATTCCCATGAGTCCATAGATTACTTCTCGTATCACTTTATTCACTATATATTGATATAAACAGTTCATAATCTGCTATATTAAGTGCTATTTAAACTTTGCCTGTAGCAGTTTTTCAGCTCACATGTTGCGAGATCTTAAAAGGTGTAAACAGAGGCTTGTATTAATAAAAGTTGGAATGATAAATAAACCACATGAGAACTAACATAAACAATCACATTTTCAAGGAATTGTGCATTTTTGTATGGGCAGGAAATTTCTAAAAGAAATGTATAAGACTGTTGCTAATAGCCAAGACTGTTTAAAATTTTGAGCATTTTTTCATTTTCTTTAGATATTAAAGTTACAAAATGACAGAATATCATTTTGAAACTAATTTTGAGCTGAAAATTGTTGAAATAGTTATTTTCATTAAATTTTGAAATTTGATTGTAGTTGTGCATATAACCCCTGAAAGGGCTAATATTAAGGTGATAATGCACATGATATACAGAGATAAGAAGTACCTTGATAAGGAGGGCACAAAATAGAGGAGACACAAAGAGACTGAGAAGCCTGTTGGAAAGGATCGGCAGCACGGGCAGCAGAAGCAACATACTGGTTTCCCTGTACTGCAGTAACTCCATTGACTCTTGCCTGTGACTGTTGTTGAGGAATGTTCATCTGTTGTGGCTGTGCCACCTGATGGGCAGGCTGATAAAAACTTGTTGGTTGTAGCTGGTACTTAAAGTAAGAAAAATAAAATGGAGGTTAGTATAATGTCAAGTGACCAGAGAAAAGACAAAACTATTATAAAAAATAAAAACTGTTAAAGTTTAAAATTTTCAACATACCAGTTGTTAAAAGACAGACAATTAAACCTATCCCTACAGGTAGGTCAAAGTCCACACATCACAACTTTTTAGTTACACATTAAAATTTAAATTAAACTATTTTATTATCAATGTATACAAATAAACTTACCATCAAAACATAGTGAATAAACCAAATTTTGA